CATCTATTATAACACATCTATTCTGCATGAAAGAGATGCAAGGAACAGCCATCAATTCATTTGATGACATCACAAATTGCACTCCCCCACATTGTTGCTGAAACAGGAAGAAGATGGTTGCCAACAAAAAAGATGAAATTTAAAGTGCATTAACTCACAAGTGGAAGACTTTGATGGAAATAAGTGCATAACTGTTGTTCATTTGTTGTATAGATACTGTGACTTGATTATTGAAAAATCAAAAAATATAATCTTAATTACCCTTTAATAGTTCTTCTCATAACTGCTTCACAACAAAAATTGTCACACAATCACACATGTAAATAAACTTACATAAGCCATTTGATTCTATTAAAAACAATTAAAATTAAAAAATTAAAAAACAACTTTTAATCTTACCACTCTCCTTTCGACTATCTCCACTCTCCTCTTTGTCTCTGTCCCCTTTCTCCTCAGTCCTCTCTCTTCTGTCTCCTTTCTTCTCTTTCACCCTTACTTCATCTTTTTATTCTATAAATACAGTTATTTTTCTTTTAATGTACAACACAAACATTCATGTACAAACAACTTACAAAGTTCATCTACCAAAAACAAAAGGCATTAGAGTTATCACTATAGGGTTACACATTCCCAACTTACCATCAGAGGGATGGACCTCAATGAGGACATCTTCTATTGGGGCAACCATTACTTTTTGATTTTGAACTTACAGTTTCAGGTGTCTTATTTTATATCCTAAAGGTCACAGGTGACACTTAGTGTTCTTTGATTGGCTGTGAATGATGCAATAACTTCTATTTCGGTATTCTCCTCCCACACATTTTGATTATCAGTCCTCTCACCTGGAGAGATAAATACAAATTACCTGCATGATAACTTCGTGACTAACTTTGTCTCGGGCCTTCTCTTTTGAGTTAGTAAGTTTTAAGCAAAAATGAGTGTTTGTGTTTATGTTGACATCTCACGCACATACTAGTTCCACACCTTTGGTTTCAAAAAGAGGATCCATAGTTTGTATGTCTTAGTGTTACAAACGAGTTCCTCTCCTTTAGGGGATCAATAGTTTGATTATTTGGCATTCAAATTAGTTCCACTCCTGTTTCAGGGGATCAATATTTTGAATGTTTGGCATTCAAACTAGTGCCACTCCTGTTTCAGGGGATCAATAGTCTGTTTGTTGTACAACAGGATCATCTCAACAATCAACTCCAGGTGTAGATAATCCACCAGACCTTGCAATGGAGATCGAAGTACCACATTCTCCCAGGCAATCTCTAGGACCACCTGTAACACAAAGAAAATGTAGTAATTGTGGTCAATTTGGTCATAAGAGAAGAACTAATCAGTAAAATGAATAACAGAAATGAGTTTGTGCAATGCAAACTCATTTCTGTTATTCATTTTACTGATTACATGGACAAGTTCTTCTCTTATGAACAA